CCCCCTGCCACAGGCAGGGACATCTTTCACTAGCCCAGGTTGCTCCAAGCTGGCCTTGGACACTTCCAGGGATGGAGCAGCCACGGCTTACCTGGGAAATGTGTTCCAGGATATCAAAGCCAATATTGGAACCAGGCTGGACACAGCCTTGAGCTGCTCGGTCTGACCTTATTACTGAGCACCAGGGGATGGGCTGGGTGACCTCCTGAGCTCCCTCCCAAGCTGGATTATCCAATGATCCCATGGTCTCCAGCACCTGGAGGTTGAGCTACAAACCTGGTCTTCTGCAGAAGGGAATTAACCCCCAGAGATGCCCAGACAGGGTGATTTTCCTCAACACCCCCACTGACCTCGAGCCTTTGGCTGTCAGCTGATGCCGAGAGCCCACCTTGTGCTTGGTTTTGTGGCTGTCCCCTCTGCACTTGGAGAGGTCCCCACTATTAGAGGGCTCTTCTGGTGAGATTTGGAGAAGCCCCTCTCTTGGAGGAAGCTCTGAAATGCCTGCATGTCATGCAGGAGGAATTCTCCTGACGAGATGACACGGGGTCAGCAGGGGAGGGAAGCGCTGCTTTGATACCTCTCTGTACCATGTGCTCACAAAGCTTGGGGAGCTCTGTGAAGCTGGAAAGTGAGATTCTGTGGTCTCCATATGGAGCCTTTGATATCTCAAGCTCATCCCCTTGTCTGGATTGTCTCTCCCAATTCCTTTGTGCAAGTTGTGGTAAAGCAGAGATAATTAATTTATGCTGTGCAGTGTGTTCCATGTGAGATTTGGATGCTGCCTATCTGTGCCCAACCAAGGACTGTCAGAGTGTTTTTTGGTTTAATATGTTAAATTGGAGTGTACACTTGCTGAGGAAAGAAAAGCCAGTGATTTATCTCTTAATTCTCCTTTTCTTTCTCCTCGTGTCCCACGAGAGCCTTATATTTAATTAGTTTGTAGAAAGCTTCAGTAAATAGCTCCATGGTTTGAGCGGCAGAAATTTAATACTGACATTTTTTTACACAGCCAGGGTTCATAAACCACTGCTGTCCTTGAGTAGTCTCTAGCAAAGGTTAAAATGCATCTCTTGCAGATCTTGCAGCACTGCCCAAAAAAGTGCTAAAAATATGACAAATGGATGAGGTAATTTACAGCAGGAGCGAGCACAGCCCAGAGGTGGCTGTGTGGTTATTGAGCTGTGCCTCAGCTGAGAGAAGAATCCTGATTAGGAACAACTTGCTGCCATCACACTCAGGCTGCTATAATGCCTGAAACTTTTCTTTTAAATCTCCCCAAAATGGCTGATAAATTTTCCCTCTCTGGGTTGAATGTCTGATGGTGTGTTTGACCTGATTGTGATTTTTTTTTTTTTGCCTTAAATGCTGCGTAGAAATCTCATTTGTAGGGTCCATCTCCTCGAGTGGAGGTCGGCAGTTTTTAATCCTGGCAAGTTCTTTGGAGTGGTCCAGCCCTTGAGTGTGTGAAGGATTGCAAAAGTAACTGTGATGGGGTCAGCAGCTGTAATTTGGGGGCTGGGAAGGAAGTGTGATGCTTTTGGTGGCGATTTGAAACAAAAATTGCCGTTTCTCTCAACATTTGCAAGTTTCCTTGTGAACACTGAGCTTGTCTGGAAGGAAAATATTTATAGAACCGTCTTTAGATTTTTAGATCAATGAGTTGAAATCGCTGCCATTTGTTCTACTGCTGAACCTGTGCACCTGGGGGTTGTCAGAGCTGTGGATTTTACACATAAATGTTGATTTCTCTCCTGTGTTCATCTTCTGTTCAGGTCACCAGGTTGGTCACTGCACACCATGACTCCAACCCTTGCACCACACGTGTGGGGATCCCCAGAGTTAGGGCTGAGCTTTGTCAGCCCCTATTTAATACACCCTGTGAATAGACTTTTCAGCCCAGTGTGGTAGAGTGAAACAGTCCTGAACTTTGATATTTTGACTTTGCACGTGCTGGATTAACGTTCACGTTTCAAATGAAAAACTACCTTTTAAGGGGTTTTTGCAGTTAATCACAGCTCTGTGCGTGTAAGTGATTCCATTTGTTTGCAACAATGACTTGCTCCAAGCTCTGGCTG